AGGTCTAATATTTACTATGTTTACAAAAATGTAGGCATGCTGTGTACTCCAGAAAAAAAATCAATAGTAATTTTTGCCAAATTTAAGTTGAAAAATAGTTCTTATGAATTTATTTTTCAATTTCACTATTACTTTCAGAAGGGCACTAATGGGTTATAAGCCGTTTCAAAAGGATCGATTTTAAAAGTAACGTTTTTTATTTATATTATATGAAGAAAGAGAAAATGCTACACACTTTAAAGCAATATTTAGGCATACATTGTTTTTCTACGTTCGTTTCAGGAATGACTATAGACACTTAGTAAATGGAGGGGTAGGTGGTGGTAACTTATTGAGGGGATCTTCCGCAGCCGGAAGAGGTTTGGAAGAGATTATTGGGAGACTGAAAATCAGGAGGAAGAGATCCATTTAATGGAAAGAATATAAAATGCGGTAAGCATGATTGCTTTAACGCAAAAATAATATTAATAGGGTGATGATAATAGGTGAATATAATCTTAACAGGGAGAAAAAATGGCAATATTAAAATTTTTTCCAAAAATGTCACAAATGAAAGATAGTCAGTAAACCAGCCTAAATGGCAGTATGAGCATTTATTTCAAATTGTATACAAAGAAATGTAAATTACGTTACAACCAGACCGAAGTATAAAAATATTTTTGTTGGTCTACATTTTGCTCGTTTCTCCCATACTATTTAGAAGATGGGTATCCACATGGTTAAAAGTAAAGTGCTGGAAATATAGGATCCCAGTACACCATTCATGGACGTTAAAATTGGCTTTTGTTTAATCTTTTTCTAAATCCTACTGTTATTTGAATAAGTAAACTTTTCCTTCCAAAGCCTTATTACGGCGAATATTAAGTAGCTCTCTTTCGTTCATATTATACCGATGTGACATACAGTAATTAATTTATGGTAAGAATTCAGTAAAAACGCGAAATTTTTTGCAGTAAACAATTGAGGGATTTAAAAGGGATATCCCCTATGATTGCAGAAATATTTATGCCTTTTGAACAACGTAAAATCTATACGAAAACTGAGATATATATGCATTGGTGTATAATTATTGAAGCAGTATTATTCCAAGAATTACACCATACGCACAAATTCCAAGAGGGAAAGAGAGATTATTTTTCTCAAAATGATTTCCCTTTTCCTCATATAACAAGAAGTAAGAAATTTAAAATGTTTATCATTCATTAACGATTGAAGAATAAAAACAGTGAAAACTATCCTGAAATTGAAGTGACAAAGAGGAATTTCCAAATAGACAAGAAACAGGAAAGCATTGGTGAGCACACTCTTCACCCTTCCTGAGAAGAGGGAGACCTGCATAAATCTTCAAAAGATGAAGCAAATCCAAGCCAAATCTCGAAAAAAGTAAGTCCTGAGCATATCTGCCAAGCATTCCTTAGAACCGGAAAGAGAAATGAAAGTTTCGATTGTCCATCAGTCAAATGTTCGGGTACTTAATTTCTTATTTCAATGAAAATATTCAATAAGGTGGCATGCCCTAAACACAGACAATCCGATGATCAGGTTTTCTTGAACAGCACCATTCTCGAGGTACAAAATTAAAAGAATATTGTTATCTAAGTGGCATTTCATAGTAATCTCTATCTCATCTAAGTGACATTTCATAGTAATCTCCATCTCATCTAAGTGACATTTCATAGTAATCTCTATCTCATCTAAGTGACATTTCATAGTGACATTTCCTAGTGACAAGTAAAATCATAAATTTTACATTACATGAAGAAGGGCAGGCCATGAGAGATAAATCCCTCACGACTTGCCTAATCAAAAGCCAAATCAAAAGTAGTATTTAATCAAGGCTTTGTAGTACAGGAAAGATCCATTCTAGGCGTTTTATTGAAAAAAAAACGTAGCCAAAATTAAAGCCAATTTAGCCAACCCCTCGATTTCTCATGTTAATATTTAAATAATTTAAAAGAAATTTATGGTCAAAAAGTTCGTTGAAAATTAAAGTAAACCTAATGTACTAAACGTACATGGTAATGTTTAATGTGATTGAAGAAAGAAAGGTTAAAAATAGATTTCGATGCTCAGTTGTCGAAATATTGAATGATAATTAATTATACATTTGAAATAAAATGCCACTACATTTGAAATAAAAAGTTAGCCGCTACATTAAATGAGAACAGAAATATTTCTATTCTCTGTTTATAAAACTGAATTAAAATTGATTAACAGATTTATTTAAAGAGGGATAAGGAATGATTAAAATTATGAAATAAATAAAGTTTCAAAGCTAGGAAATATGTAATGCCTATAATGGTATCACAATAACAATTTAATGTTCACTCTATTTTGCAAGTTGTACAAAATATATAATCTCATTCAGAAATGGTTAGATAAGTTATAAAAATCAATTAAGTTAAAAGCTTAAACTTTAGTTGTTTTCAAATATTGATAATGCGCATAAAATGTCTGGGAGTAATTATGCCAATTATGTGTTGTTTGTATATTCCAATGTCTGAGTTATGAAAGCCTGACAGGTGTTTATTCTCTAAATATATAAAATGCTTGAAATGTTTATAGAGACTCAAACCAGGCGTTCGTTTTAAAGGTCTACCATGTATTCCTTTAATTTCTTTCTGACATCACTGTCCATTCTTTATCTTTCAAGCAATGGTAAGTATATGATCTAAATTTGATATTCAACCGTGTAGATTTTAGTTGCATTTAAATTACGAGTACTGAAATAAAAGTAAAATAAAATATCATTCAAAAATAGTGTCACAAAAATCATTCGACGCATTGAGTTTGAAGAATTATTTTCTAAATCTTGATCATTGTGCTTACGGTTTTTCCTTAACATACATCATTTATTTGGAAGGTAATAACCGGTTGAGAAAATAATTTGTCAGTTATAGGAAAGAATTAGGAAACTTCTCGACTGGCCAGTGGCTAGTTTCAACATTTTAAACAGAGGTTACTTTTGCAAAATTTGAAAGATTTAAGCGGTTAAAAAAATCTGTTGATATTAATAATGAAAAAAATTTCTTTTGAAGCATTTCTCATAATATGGTAGTGTAAGGGTAATTTTTAAAATAAACTTTTTTATGAAACAATCGTGAAACAAAGTTATTTTCCGAATATAATAAAATATTCCTAATAATTTCTTATTTATTAAAAAATAAATACTAATAAAATGCTCAATGGAGTGCATTTTTGAAGGGAAAAGAGTTGATAGATGGAGATGGGAAGACAAATTTAAAATTTCCATCTGTTATATTTCGTCAATCTATGTCAGGTGATGGTCGTTAATTTAATCCAATATTTAACAGATGAGAAAATATTATTACAAGAAAAAAATTTAAGTTCTGAATGACATTTTATGAATGATCTAATTATCTTAGTGAATTTCAACCTTATATGTTGACTGTCAGATACTATGCTTCGCCTTTATTTATAGTTCACAAACTTCCAATTATCAAAATCTATAATTACATAACATTTGTTTAAGCTGCTAAGCTTATGTTAAGCATTCATGGCATTCGAATTCCTGTCATTGTACTCTTTTGCCAAAAGATACGTTTTCGTTCCTCGTCAACTTTTCATTGCCAAATGAGCCTTAGATGTTGCCTCAGACACTAAAAGACTGCCACTTGGATCCTTTATCCAAAGAGATTTTAGAAATTAAAAAACTTAGTTAAATAAATAGATGGCGTATACTCATGAGATTTAAGAACGTTTATGTCTAAATCTTCTTTTTTTAGGATATCACTTTTTTTATTCACTCATCTCTTCAATTAATCAAGTTTTTCAGCAAGTTGTGACTTTTTATCGGACTATGTCTTGTTTGAAGCAGAAATCTAAAAGAAAATCGTTCATAGAAACACTTGACTTTTCAATATTTAAAAATAAGTGATCCTTCCTACAGTTTGGAACCAATTTCCCAAAATAGCTTATTAAAGTAATGAAACAAACAAATTATCTTATAAGCATTTCACAAAACCATTTAATTTATTAATAATAATGATGAGATAGTAAACATTAGCATAATTAATAACAGAAAAATACTGTAAACAAAACTTTTTCGAGATTAAACAATCTTTTTGCTGGAGATATTTTGCCAAAAATGTGTTTGAAATGTATTACAATATTATAAAAAACTTATATTTTGGAAAAGATGTACGCTTATTTGTTAAATAATTTCATTAGATAGAGGGCAGTATTATTAATAAACTTGGAAGAAATAAGTTAAAGAACGGATATGAGCTGAAACTTGTTCGAAAATAACGCGGGATGAAACAAAATTTTAAAAATTAAATGCATAACAAATAAGAAGTATAAAAATCATGTATCTAGTCTTTAAGAGATAAGGTTAATACTTAAAAAAAGCGAAATATATTTCAAGTTAAAAACACTATATTGTATAGTTATTACAATAACAATTTCTATCAAAAAAATTTACGCTATTTTATTCTTAAAAATTTTTTATGATTGTTTAACAAATGGTACACTTCTACATAAAGAACAAACCAACTTAAATCGGGCAAAAACTATTTTTAACGATACACAGGAATCAGTTGTGACTTCCATTTTTCAAAATATGACTGTATATTGATAAAGAAGGGTATTTTGGTAATAGTATTTGCATTTTTATTCTAGGAATGGCCGGAGAATTAGATAATTTGCTGAATGGATTGTTGGGTGGTCTCTTAGGTGGAGGTTGGGGAGGTGGTGGAGGGGTGAGTGGTGGTGATTTAAAGGAACTCTTAAGTGAATTAGATAAATCATGCGATGCGACTGGCGATGATAGTTCCAATGAAATGGTGAATCTGGGTGACATGATGAGTAAAGAAGATTCTAAAAAGGAAAAGGGCAAAGGTGGATCAGGAAAGAAGAAAGGTGGAAGTGACTCAGGGAAAGAAAAAATGGGTGGAGATGACTCAGGAAAAAAGAAAATGAAAAAGGATGACTCGGGACAAAAGAAAATGAAAAAGGATGACTCGGAAAAAAAGAAAATGGGTAAAGATGACTCAGGAAAAAAGAAAATGGGTGGAGATGACTCAGGAAAAAAGAAAATGGGTGGAGGAGACTCAGGAATGATGATGGGTGGAGGAGATTCAGGAATGATGATGGGTGGAGGAAACTCAGGAATGATGATGGGTGGAGGAGACTCAGGTAGTTCTGGTGGAACAATTAACTGTGGTAAGATATATCAGAAGCATATTATTCATATTTATAGAATGCTATTATGATTATTAATGGAAATGGCACTTTGTAATTGGAAATTAAAATTCGGTCCATAATATGTATTGTAGTAACGTAAAATTGACTTAATGATGCTGAATCTACCATGTTCATATATAGTGAAAATTCATTTGTGAAGAAATTGTTTCGTCATTTAAGTCTGCTCAATAATCTTAACGAGAAGTTACGACTTTCAATAAAACTATAAATATAGATAACTAATCTGTGCTTACCCTAAACCTGATTTTAGAGTAGGATCTGGTTATTTTCCTAAACAGCAAAGTGAAGGTCTTTTGTCATTGAATGTTCTTTTTGATTGAAGAAAAATGAGAGTTCTGTTCACATTTATTCAATTGACAACCAGTTAGAAATCATTATTAACTAAAATTATTTAAGCATCATTGTCCTTAATAACAATAAGAGGGTTTTTTAAGGCTTTCTTTTCTAGTGGAAAAAGCACTTTTCTTCTTTTAATTTAGCAATTTAGTACCAAATTTATTTTTTCACTTCAATTTGTGCCTATTACCAAATTTAGTCAAGCGTCAATGGTGTGAATAACGATATGGCAATTTCTTGCTGTTTATGTACACAAATAAGTAACTTTTCTTTATTAACTTATCATTCCAATACAATTTTTTTGATATTTCAATTTGTACCTATTACCATCGTTTGTAATTTTCAAAAACAATTAGTAACGACGCGAATATTTTTTTAGTCACTTTTGATGAACGAACTAATAACGGTGCTTATTTTGGAAGTCTTAAAAATCGTCATACTATTATTGACGCCAGTAATATTTAAATAAATGTGGCATTTAATACTTTCTGGTATTGACGTTATAAGTACTGTGGTAATGAAAACCTATTATACCCAAATGCATAATATTGCTGCCGAAATACTAACGTAGCCAAATGAAATATAATTGATAGAAACTGATTGTAACCAAAATGTAGAAACTGATTGAATAAGTAACATTTTGTCCCGCAGTGGACTGATCGTTAAGACACGGTTCCCAGCAGATCACCGAAGTCAAGCATCACTGGCTACGATCAGTGTGCAGGTGGGTGACCACTTGAATCAGCCTGCGTAGGGACCGAGGGTGTNATAACAAACCAAACTATATTAACAAAATGACGTAGAAAGCGCTACTAGATCAAAATTATACAAGCACAACTAGATCAAATTATAATACCTGAGTGCTTGACGTAACAGATATAGAAATAGAATTTGATACCATAAATTATATAGAAATAGAAATTGATACCATAAAAAATTTATTCGTTTTCGTGTTCTTTTCATGTATTTAGCATTTTAGTTTTTTTTTTCTTAAGCGTTGTAGCTATATAATTTCAAACATCCTCAAGAGCTATAATACATTTGCAGCAGAACTGGATATGAAGACAAAATTGCTTTACAGGAACACTTTAATTGTCCACTAATCTTCAGATTTCCTGCTATGTTTTAAAAAACTTTATTTGTGAAAACCTTCAGCGTGGCGGACAGCTGGCCGCCTTAGGCGGCTAGTATTTAAATAAATGTGGCATTTAATACTTTCTGGTATTGACGGTATAAGTACTGTGGTAATGAAAACCTATTATACCAAGATGCATAATATTGCAGTAGAAGTACTAACGTAGCCAAATGAAATATAATTGACAGAAACTGATTGTAACCAAAATTGTAGAAACTGATTGAATAAGTAACATTTTCTCAGTTATTGCCCTATACATTATAGCTCTTAAATTACTTTATTTTCAAATTGCCGCGCATAAGACTGTGGCAAAAGTTTATGGTAAATATCCATATTTTTTAGAGATAACTTTAAATTTTTTAGTGGTTTATTTAATATATTTTAATTTAATCCCGTTGTATATTAATTTTTTTTAATAAATATATATTTTTTTATATTTTCAGGCGATTCAAACAGCGGAGGTTTACTTGGTAATATTGTCATTCTTGGAAGTGATAGCTCACAAGAGTGTGGATAAACTTAAAATTGAAAAACTTCACTCTTGAATTGAAAAACAAAAGAAATATTTATTAATAAAATTGAAAAAAAAAATTATTTATTCATGTATTAGAGAAATACACGCATTTTATCATGTATTATATTACGAACAAGTATTGCATTTTGTATTAGATGATATATAAACATAGCACACAATTATTATTATTATTATTTAGTTATTTATTTATTTTTGAGTGGATATATTTTTTAGAGACAGGTAAATTTGAACTTAGTATACGCATTTTAGTGAAAGGTAAAATTCATCCAAAATATTTTTATAAAAAAAAAAAAAAAATTGGGTTACAGAATGATTTATTACTAAAAGAAAAAAAAAATTACATTTCATCATTGTTTTATAGTTTTGTATCAAAGTAATATTATTAGAAAAACTATTGCGAGGAACACTTTAAATAATGCTGGCTGAATTAAAAACTTTAATATTACATAAATTAACAAAATATCTGAAGAGAAATTCTGAAAACTCTGAGGAGAAAAAAAAAAAAACTTCCAATCTTAGTACTTAATACTAGATTTAAAGAAATATGTTTTTCTTTATTTTCTCTATAGCAGAGAAATATTAATTTAATGCAATAAAACTATTACTATCTGCAATGTAAGTCAATAAAAATAATGCACTAATATTATTATAATAATTGATTTTTTGATAAAAGTTATTCGCGCTTTCTTTTGAAGTACTTTGTACCGGCCCCAAAAATGTACTGGTACATTGTATAAATTGCAAAAATAAAAGCTTAGAAATGAAAGTTAGAGAATGCAAATTGATTTCTATTTCACACTGTGAAATCAAAAAGGTGTTCCAATCTAACTTGAATACATAATGATGAAACATTTGATAAAAGAAATGTCAAAATTTAATATACATTAGGTGTCGCAGATGAATTTTTAAGTAGGACAGAAATGTTATCAACATTAGACGAATCGTAATTGATTAAGGCGAGTCAAAAATTCGAGCAAAACTAGTTTAAATCTTTTTTTAATAATCTTTCTTCAACTGACACAATTTCCTCGAGTAAACATAAAAGGTTTTGTTGTCTTAAATCATGCTTTCTTTGCAAAATGTTTGTCAGGTTTCGACAACGTTTATCTCTTTGCCAAGTTTGTATATTATTTTACGAGCCCTGATGTGCACATTATTTTACTTCACTAGGATGCTTCAACTCTTGCTATTCTACTCACCAATCTCCGTGGTTGCCTCTCAAGCATTACTACTGTTTTTATTTCTTAAAAATTGAATTTTTTTAAAAATATTTTTTTGATTATAATTTATGTAAAATATAATTATTATTAAAGATATATAAAGATAAATAAGATTATAAGTTTTTTTTTAATATAACTAAAATTAAACTATCATTACAACAAAAGAAAAGGAATTATTACTTAGATTTAAAGAACAATCAACTGAACTTGAAAAATCTGTGACATAATAATAAATAATAAATGAGAAGTACTGTTACTTGTGTTAAAAATATATATCGATATATAACTTGTTAACAATATATATCGATGCATAACTTGTTAACAATATATATCGATACGTAACTTGTTAACAATATATATCGATACATAACTTGATAACAATATATTACTTGTGCAAAGAAAAAAAAAAAAAAAAAAAAANAAAAAAAAAAAAAAAAAAAAAAAAAAAAAAAAAAAAAAAAAAAAAAAAAAAAAAAAAACGTGAATAAAGCACAAATCTAAGTACATAAATTTACATATTTTGTTTTAGTCTACTTAGCACTAAGTATTACCTCTTTCGTTTGTTGAATATATAATTTGTTACCAATATGTAGCAGTTTAAATTGGAAATAGTTTTTGTCTGTTTTTACTCCTTTTATTTATAAAACTTTTATTATAATTGTTAAGATTGCCTTTAATCTTATTTTTTAAAATTTAATTTATTCATTTTGTTTTGTTTTGACATCAAGTGAAGTACGAGTTTGTTAATTGGAGATCATGGGGCAGAGAAGTTTTACTATAACAATAAAAACAAATTATTTTAGCAATAAAAGCAATTATATGAAGCAAAATAGTGAACAATGCACTTAAAATTGCAATGACTTTCGAATAAATTCGTATTTTGAGGGAGAAAAAAACGTGATAAGTTAATAATATAAAATGGCCTTTTTCAAAATGTCAAATTTCAACTAGTTGCATTAAAGCGGACAACTTGTCAGCAAAAATGATATTTTTTACAAACAACTTTTATCAGTTGGTCATTCTCGAGCTAATAATCGAATCTTAATTTTTATTTTATTCCATTGTACTCCTGGTATATTTTTCTCCACATCTTTGTAACTTTAAGCTTATAGAGTTTGCGCAAAACAAAATGTAACATAAAGAAAAACGAAATGTGACGTAAAGCAAATAAAGGTAAGTAAAAACTCTCAAAAAAGCAATATCTTTCGAACGAATTAAAATTTCTAATGAATAATTAAATAAGTAAATAAAAAAAACTTTCATTAAATTCATAAACAAAACTCACCCTTTCAGCACGCTAAATTGATATCAACTCTATAGTTGCATTCCTGTGGCCTGTAGATCGCATTACATGGTATTTTTTTGCAACAATTTTAACAGGCCGGAGATGGGTGGTAATAAGGCAGAGGGATTCTTGTGGCTCTCTCGCTGTTAAAAAAGTTCTCCTGGAAATCCTGCCATGAGTGGCAACATATGTGGCTGAAGGATGTCACGAACATATTTCCGAACTGTCATGGCGTCGGGGATAACATTAGGGATAATCGTGTGTCGTATGTGATGTCACCCTATATCATCACACCAGCTGTTGAAGTAGTGTGCTACTGTTCAGTTTAGGCAGGATTGAGGCGTTCACCAAAGGGCCTCCACACTCGAACACGATTTTCATCACTGTTCAAATCAAATATGAACTAATCACTGAAGATGATCTAATTCTATTCGGTTGCAGTTCAATCCCTTCTAGGGCATCTAAACCAATGGGTGGGTGTCAATCCTGCCTACCCAGTACAGCATCATACAGCTTCTACAAATGTGTGATAGCGGGTGCCATTGCATACGACGCACGATCACCTCTAGTATTGATCAACTGCACTACGACAGTCTAGCGGCTTGTTCGCTATATCATTCAGCCACATCATTGCCACTCATGGCAAGGCTCCTAGGAGCAACTTTTCAACAAAATAATGCTCGACCGAACACAGCAAGGATGTTACAGGAATGCCCCTGTCACATTACCACCTTTTCCTGGCATGCTCGTTCCCCAGATTCGTAACCAAGCGTGCATATCTGAGATGATTTGGGAAGCAAGTTGGACAACCTCCGAGTTTTGTTGATTAGCTGTGCTCTTACAGTAACTGTGGAACGAGATGCCTTACTATATCATCAGGGAATTCTATGCTTCCATGTCCGACCGTATCACACAGTGCTTTCGTGCTAGAGGTGACCGCAAGAGGGTATTGAAACCTCCATTCATTTGCAATTTTTCCAACATTAAATGATGATTTTGCTTTGATTTTTAAATACTTGCTCCTATCAACATTACTTACGGATGTAAAATTTCATTTCATTGTGAAAATTTTTTTTAGATGCGATAATTTCTATGGCATAGTGTGTGTATATATTGATTTTAAAAAAGTTTCATTCATGTATTTAAAAACGATGCCTTTTAGATATTTTTGAATATTTTCATTTGCTGAAACTAATTATTATTAATTGGACATTTTAAATTCAATTTCAAGGTTTCATACAATGCTCGGAATGTTTTGGTCGAAAGTCTCTAGCCTGAAATTTTATGCAACTGTTACCTGTACAATTGAAAGACTCCATATTTTTAACAGTTTTAAGTTGCTAAAAAAATAGCATTCAATTTATTTTTAAATTAGCGACCCGTTCAAAAGGGGTATTTTAGAGTCTGAAATAAAATATGTAAACTGATTTTTTAATGATAAATAATGATAATATTTTAACAATAACTTGGAGGTTCACTTAAAATTATGTCTTAGTGCTTAAAATCTAGAATCACTGTTAAGATTCACTATAATTTTTGTCTATTATTTATTATAATGCTCATTAACAGCTAATAAAGTGAGGAATCACGAAATAAGAAGCTCATAATGGCGCTCAAGCTGGTCGCCAAATGTGGCTACTTTTAAATTGAAAATTGTTATTAGGTTGTTGATTAATTTATATTATATTACCAATCAGTACAATTATAACTGATTTATAATTTTTTAAAAATTTGAGTTCAGAGTTATTCAGATTTAATTTCATTTCCCTTCCTTGGTCAAATTATCAAACTGATGTTGCTGCGGAAGATTACACAAATTCTACTCCCATGGCATCCTTAAATAAACGTACAGATTGTTCCAGAATGATATTCCGATAAATTTGGCCTGCCATGGTTCTGATTTAAACATGCAAATATGTTCTGGAGCCCAGTATAATTACCTCCCCCCCCAAACAAGCAATCCTGCAAAGGTGTCGTTCCAAGATATCATCTAAGTCAATAATGATATCATATGATTATCCGACATGAATCAAACTACAATCTTAACCTGGGCACGTCGGAAAATATAACACAAGTCCACTGTGATGATGTCCACATTGCATGTTCTCTTCAGCAGGCTAATCGTTGGCGATAGTGAGTTGTCTGGAGCTGTACAGGCCTGTGAGCATATATACCAATATTTCCCAAACATATGTGCATGGTTTGCCTTGTAACTGTGGTACTCGTGGCTGCAGATGGCTCCAATACCGGTCTCCAATCTGGCGTTATAACTGGAAAGCAACCTGTACTGTATCATTTGCTGATAATTTCCATAATCTTGGAATGGTTGTAAAAGTCAAGTGATGAAGTTTTGGCAGTTTTAAGTTCCTCAGATACTTCTCTCTGAGTGTGCTCACATTACAAACCGCCGATAATTCTATCACCTAAAAAATCAACCACATGCGTCAGCTGTGTCATAATTATTCGATTATGGCACTCAGCGACTTGCAAAGCGCGAGTGAGCAATTTTACTTCGCTGCCGTGATTCATTATATACCCCACTACTACACTTTCGTCGGACATGCTATCGACGTCATCTGGTAGCTTCCAGTAATTCGTTTATAATTTTTGAAAGTGTGTGTTCTACAAATGAAATTTTACGAATTTTGAGTTCGATTTCCTTATG